GAGAATTAAAAATCCTCCTTCTCACACATAAAGCTCTGAAAAAACCAAGGTTGGTCTGATGTTGGAGATCTCATCATTATGTATGTCCCTAACAGAGCACTTCGCTCTCAAACTGCAGGTTTACTAGTGGTTCCTAGAATTTCTAAAAATAGAATGGGAGACAGATCTTTTAGTTATCAGGCTCCTCTCCTGTGGAACCAACTACCAGGTTCAGTCCGTGAGGCAGACACCCTGTCTAGGCTTAAAACTTTCCTTTTTGATAAAGCTTATAGTTAGAGTGGCTCAGGTTATCCTGAGCTATCTCTATAGTTATGCTGCTATAGGCTTAGACTGCTGGAGGACATAGGGACCCCCATTTCATAATTCTGCTTCATTCTATTTATATTCTGCCACTCCATTCAATCTCTAACGTTCTTTTCTCTCTGCTTTTCCTCAGAGTAGCTTCGCCTCGTCTGTTCCTGTTTGCCTGTGACTCCTTCCTGGAGAGAAATATCAGCTTTGCTGCTGCCATCAGCCCTTGTTTATAGATGTTGAAGATCAGCCTGTTTATCAGTGTAGTCCTGTTTCTCTTAATGTGACTAACTGGATGTGCTCTCTTTCATCCTCTGACATGGGAGCTGGCTCGGAGCTCGTCTGCCTGGCTGTGCGTTTCCAAGACAGGGCCTCCTGTGAAGCTGGTTGACAGTTGCCTTTTGTATCTCTGCTTCTTTCTGCATAGCTGCTTCGGTCTGCTTGAATCCCAGTCGGCCTCGGCAGATGGACGCTCACAATGAGGCTGGTTCTGCTGGAGTTTTCTTCCTGTTAAAAGGGAGTTTTTTCTCTCCACTGTCGCTACAAGCATGCTTGGTGTGAGGGATTGCCTTCAAGTCAATGAGTCGATGCAATCAACTGGTTTTCCTTAGATAGAACGCTGAACAATCTGACTGTATGATCTTGTTGAATGACCTGTAAAATACCTTGAGATGACGTGTTGTAATTTGGTGTGTAGAAATAAACTGAAATTGAATTGAAATGTCTTTTTTTCAAACAGATTTCATATCTTACCCACTTCTAGAGCAATTTTGAGCAATTCTCTGCAGTAAGGAGTAAAGCTCCATTTTTTTTTGGTCTGTATGGATGATAGCAATAACATTTTTATTGGTCAATAGAATGTGTTTGCATTGGGCTTTAAGTGGAGAAAATGGGAAAGAAAAATTTGGAAATAATAAAAGTTGTAAAACTTGATTTAAAAGAAAAACATGAAAAAAAGAATAAACTTGAAATATTAGAATATATACAAAAAAATATATCTGAAACAATTTTGGGAAATAAAATATGAAAACAAATAAAATAAAATTTGATAAAACAGCAATATTCCATGCAAAAATTATTTTTATTATTTAGGAAGTTTTACAAAGTTTCATTTCTGGATTGCATTTTTTTTTTTTTTTTTTTTGCATTTACAAAACTAGTTTTTTACTTGCAATGAAACAGAAAATACTCTGAAATGGAAATGTTTGTTTACTGTGTAGCTTTATCAAGAAGTGACAACTTTACAAGTTTTTGTAATTTCAGAGTACTCAGTAATTTAAATATTTGATGAGTCACATCTAAACACTGCATGTTGTTCTTTTGTCTATTTTCTGAAATGTATGCAGAAAAACTGATCCAACGCCTTTATGTTTATTTCCCAGATTGGAATTGTTGCTAACTTCTGAATGTTGGAAAACTAATAAACTATGTTTTTATAGCATCAGAAACATTGTTGAAACTGACAAATTCCAAGTTGTCAGTTTCAAATCAGATGTTTTCCATCAGAATCATTTTATGTTCAGTTTTGATATGAAAAATATTCCCACCCTATGATGCTTCTACTGCCATGCTTCATTTCGGAAATTACATTCTCACATATGCTGTCTATTTCTGTGTTTGAAGATCACACTTATTTCATACTTCTTTTGTTCCTCTCCACCTGGAATAATGTTCCTACTGTTGACCCTGGGAAGGTTGAAGGAACCGGAGCTTGAAACTACAATGTGCCTTATTCAGAAACAGCCCTGTTCTTCTGGGGGTCCTCTCCCATCTCACATGAAAAAACACAGGTCAGGGACACCCTCCAACTCATCAGTAATAGTATTTAATGATAGGTGGTTAAAAAGTTATTTTCTCTCTATTTTAGCTTCTTTGTGGTATTACCCAGATTTCTGCACATAAGTGGAAATACATTTTTTATTATATGTTTTCAGTTAGAAATATTGACTTTAAGACTCCTCATGGATATTTGAATGAATGTATTCTAGCCTCTATGGAAAACTGTGATTTGGTTGCAGATTGTAAAAGCCTCTATAAAAGATCTACGTGTCTAACAAGATAATTAGAAAGTTACAAAACATATGAAATGATTTCAACTGTTTCAGGATTCTTTAATAGAAAAACCAGGTTAGAATGAAATTGTACTTTTTCCAAACAACCAGCAGAGGGCACTAAATACTAATTACAGATTTTCTATATCTGTCCACTTTCTTTAAACTATTTATCCTTTTCATGCTAGCAAACTGTAAAATCTTCATCCATACTTTTCATTCTGTAAGGCTAAATAATCTTGGTCAAGGTCTAACTGTTTTTAAGTCTGGTTCCAGTTTAAGTCCCTGTGGACATCTGTGCTGCAGCAGCAGAAAGTCCTTCTAGTTCACAGCCCTGCAGATGCTCTCTATGAGACTCAAGATTTTTGCCCTCTGCCCTACCAACGTCAAAATGCTTTGCTTAGCTCTATCAGCACCTCTGTCTACAACAACACAAGTGTTAATCTAATGCTGGTCTCCATAGACCCTCTCTAGAAACTAAACAAAGTTGACTGTTTATATTCTGAAGAGCTATAAATAGAAAACATCTTAAAGTCCAAATTGTCTTTTGTAAAAAGAGTAAACCAGTGTAATTGGAGGTATTTTATATAGAATGGATTTAACTACTTATGGGGCCAAATAAACCTAACTGTTAAAGATGCTATGGCATTATGGAGTAATGGGGAGTGGCAGCCATTGGTTAGGCCTTAAAGCTTAGAATCAAGAGGTTCTGAGTTTGAGCCCCACTCCCACAGACTGCCACTCTGGCTCTCCAAGCAAAGACCCTTAACCCCAAGATGGCAGCCCACTGCTCCCCAAGGAGATGGGTTTAATGTAAAGGTGCATTTCTCCAATTTGAGATGAATAAAGTTTAAATTATTATTTGTTCCATTAATGTTGCAAGCAAAGAACACATTTTGTAAAAAAAGAAAAAAGAAAAGATGCAATCCAGAAATTAAACTTTGAAAAACTCGATAAAAAAAACATATCTTTTTTTGTAGTTTTTATTTATGTTTCAACATTTTTAATATTGCTTTTAAGGTTTTATGTTTTCAAATTTTATTTTTTTTAAAACGGTTTTACAAACTGCATTTCAAAGAACATATTTGCTTCACTTCCAACCTAATAACATATGGCTGCTAATGTCCATCGTACCAATAGAATTACGTCTTCTCTCCTCCAATGGAAAGCCTTGTCCTCAGAAGGGAAGAGGATTTGACCTGTAAATGCAATTTGAAAAGAATCCAAATTATTAAAAAAAATTAAAATATAAAATCTGTTAAAAAAAAAAAAAAAACTAAGAAAGACAATATTAAGACAGACTTTAAGTCCAAAATCTATAAAGTTTTATTTTTGTCGGTTGGAGTTGCTAGCGAGCTTTGAGCCTACTCCAGTTTGTCAGTTTTAATTTAAGGGATGTTTTGATTCTGCGGCTCAGGCTCTGATCAAGCCTGGGGGTGGCAAATGAAACTGAACCAGATTATTGCTAAATTCACTAATCCATTCATCATAAATGGTCTTTAGAGGTTACTTAAAACGGTAGATCCATGTGGATTCAATGCGTAAAGCAATAAAAAAATAAACTAATCCTGTGTCCATGTAGTCTGGAGCAATGAAATAAGATTATTTTATAAAGAAGTGTATGGACATGTATTGGAGAATATAGATGCAAAACATGTAAGAAAAAACTAAATTCTGAGCTCAGAAATGCAACTAGAGGCGATTCCAACAAAATTAAAAAAGTTAAAAAAACAAACCACTGAAGTTTGTTTTCCAAATTTGAAGACGTTTTGCTTCCCATCCAGGAAGCTTTCTCAACTCAAAATGTCTGGAGTAGCTTTTGAGTTCAAGGCTTATAGAGTGGCATAAAAAAAGCCTTGTTATGGCTTAGAAAACAGGCAAATTGAACTAAAAAAACAGGTCCTTAGTAACGGGGAGTCGTTGTTGGCCTGACTGACCAGGCGAGAGCAGGTGTTCTTCAAACTCCAAACCTGAATTGTCTATGACATGCTACAATGTGGGATTCAGAAAAATATGTGGAAATGTCTGAAAGGTCGAACACAGTCGAGAGCATATCGGGAGAAGGAGACCAACAAGACGTCCTCATCCTTGGCCCTATCTTGAAGAACTTTTTGAATTAGTCGACAAATTGAGCTTTCAATTCATTTAGTGGCATCTGGCTGTTTTTTTTAAAGGTTACTTTATACCTTAAGTAGTTTTTGGAGCACATACTTTTTCACTTTTACTTTAGTAAAGAGGTCAAGTTGATACTTCAACTTTTACCAGACTGTTCTTAAACTGCAGTATCTATTTAAGTAACAAATGTGTGTACTTTTGACACCACTGAGCATAAGGAAGTGATTTATGTCTGTAGTACAGGAGCTGTATGTGGAGGACTGGCCCCATTGACCCCTGTGTAGAACCGCCCATGTTGGTTAATCTTGGTATTATTGAGAGGAGTCATTGTAAAATAGTCTGAATAAAATGGCACTTCAAAAATATTAAAAAACAACAAAACAAACAAAAATTACATATTATTTAGCTCCCAATATTTTATTCAATTTTAAAATGATAAATAGTTGAAGGTATTTGAAAATATTAATTAAGATAATATGATATTTCTGAGGAATAAATGCTGTCTGGTGTTACCCAGCTGTCAGTCGGGTCGGTACCGAACCACTGGCAGCCAGAACCGGGCGCGTGGCGCGCGCCTGTCGGTGACGCGCCGTCTGGTTCCCGGTCCTGTACCGGAGGAGGATCGGTGTCTCCTCACTGAAGGAAGCCGGAGAGGAAGGAGACAGACGCAGGATCGCTGTGCGGCTCCTCCAGCAGCGCTTTACGGACTAACCGCATCTTCTGGAGCTCCTGTTTGGATCGGAGCCGGTAGGTAGACGGGTTTCTCCTCCATCTCTCCCTGATTTCACTGTTTTTATTCTCCTCCTGGTTGGAGACACGCTGCTGTCAGAGCGCCTTTACTGGAGAGTCATCAGCAGAGCCCAGTTATGCACCAGGAAAACCTGAAGTGAGGATGAAAAAGCTCGGAAATGGAGATTATCTTCTTCCGCTATTTAATAAAAGCAACATGTTTTTATTCAATTAAAGCAATGAGATGTTGATCTTTGATGGTGCAGCCGCTCGCTCTTGTCTTATATTTTGCACACAGAGCAGAGATGCCAAACAATAAAGCTCACAGTTCACCGATATTAAACTGATCCCTGCTCCAAAGTGCCACTTACCATTTTAAAGCACAAAACTAATAATAGTGACCAACCAGTGGGGCATCTTTTCTATCACCTAGTGTCTCTCCTTTATAGAAAAAAAGGATAGTATCCTTGGATTTTGGATTATAGCTCTGGATGCACTTTGCACCTGCAGGGCTGCATGTCTCAAAGCGTCTTTTGTCAAATTCAGCTGCTGTGGGAAACAGGAAAGCCAGTAGGGGTGGAGGCGTTGGTGTGTGGGAGATCAGCTGTGGTGGAGTGGAGGATGCCCTTGCTGTGGAGTCACCTTGACGACCCCTCAGCATCACAGGGCTGCATTTGTCATGCTTCTGCTGCTGTTATTCACCTGCCATCACATATGGTGCTTTAATGCCAGTATATATATATATAGGCTTTATATAAAAAACTAGGGGAAAGTTTGCTTAAAGTAAGATAAGAAACCCTCTTTTAGCCCTTTTATGAAAATAACAGAAAAACAAGCAAATAAACAGTGTAATAAGCATGGAGGCAAAACATAAAGGCAGTCAAAGGCTTTTTAAATTTCAGTGCAGAAGGTTTCAGGCTCAGCAGCTCAGCTTCTTCGCTCATAAACATGAGGCTCCTGGAAACGCGTCACCAGGGCGACATCCTCAGCACCACTGAGAGGAGCAAAGTGTGGCAGCAGCTTCAGGGAATGTTAATAACAAAATCTTCCTTTGATCTGAGAGAAAGGGATCTAGGAAACTAACCAGGATGGACATCAGAGCTTATTTATCACCCAAATTTATTATAGTGATAAAATAGGCTGAGGTTTGCTTTCTGTTTGGTAGATCTGATGTGGCCTGATTGTTCTGGGAATCTGAACAAATACGTTTTTCATTTGAGTCCATAAACTCCACCGACGTCTCTGATGATCTCAGAATGTTTTAAAATTCTGCAAAGGTCGAAAAAATACAGTTCGGACACCAGCAGAAGAGCTGCCTTTTAACACAGTGGATACACAGAAAAGGGCTTTTGCTCTCAAGGTTTAGGTGATGGTCTGCAATGTGTATAAGATCCAGGGCAATGAGTCAACTATAGGCACATTATGTTGTTTAATTGTTTGGTCTTATTTGATAACATATCTCTGTTTTTCTGTTCTTCCATTTTGCATTTATTCTTAACATAGCCTTTAATTACAGATGTTAAAGGGGTCATAGAATGCAAAACCGAGTTTCCATTGTAATAAAAGAATGACGATAGTTCAGTGGGTGAAATGGACGTACAGAGAAGTTCAAACCCCATCGACACCTCCTTTCTCTGCAAATCTCACAATTCCAAACTTCCACCATAAAATGGGCGAATTCAGACGAAGCACTGTGTTGACGTCAATTTGGGGATGTTGCCTCATTTGGTTCTGGCCTCTACTTTTGTCATGCCCTGAAATAGGCATACAGACCAGCCCACTGGTTCACTGGCCCAAGTACATGAATAGAGAGAGATGTAAGACAGCAGTTTATCTGTTTAGCCTACAGTTGGGTTTACTTCTCCAAGAATTACAAAGCAGGCAGTTTCTCTATTGAAAATGAGCCAGAACCAGTTTCACAGTCTTCCCAAGGATCCGAAGACTCGATAGGCATGGATCATTGTTGTCTATCAGAAGATCGCTGCAAAGTTTGATGTTCAGCTGTTCATTTGCTCTCAGCATTTTACCGAAGACAGTTTACAAAATCTTGGACAGTTCAAAGCAGGATTTAATAAACTTTTTTACTGAAACGAGGGGCTGTTCCAACCGTAAGGCTATCACAACCGCAAGCTGTAAGGAAGATTCTGACGCTAAGCTGTTGATAGCAATGCAAGCTTATCTATGGTGACCAGATTTGGGTTTCTGAAAAGGAGGACACATTTTTGGTTTTTGAAGGGGGAGGGAAGCACGGGGCCGGGCTACCGTTGACGGGCCAGGTTTGGTCCCTCCTTCCCGAGCTGGCTCCCTGCCCCCGTCTGCCGGAGTTCCAGCCCTGGAGCTGACGGCTTGGTTCTGCTGCACTATAGTCGACCAAAATCCCAGGCAATATTGAAACTCCCACCAGACATTTTTTTAGATATGAAAAGTAGGACATGTCCAGGAAAAAGAGGATGTCTGGTCACCCTATCAACCCATGTCCACCAATATCAATGTCACATGCTTGTCAGGAGGCCAAGCAGTCTTGGAGGTGGGACCCAAACTGGTTGAAAGAAGAACATGCTTTGTAGAGTTTTCAGCAGACAAAATTTTAATTTCTTCTTGTGCAGGACATCAACCAAACCACACCAACCAAGAACAATGGCAGACATGTTTCTTAAATAGAGGAGGAACTAAATTGGAAGAAACCATTTTTAAAAAGACTGTTCAGCTTCACAATAAGAAGAAAAGGAAATTTTGGTTTAAACAAACAACTAATTAAGAAATACTTTTACCAATAAATACAGAAACAAATAAATTAATTCAATCCAAACAAATACTCAAACTCAATAAAGAAATACCATACATCAGATCAACCTCCCCCCTCTTCAATTATCCAATGGTACAGTCCTGTACACACCTGCTTGGAGAGTGAAACAGCAGAGGTGAGTATTTCAAAATATTTTAAATCTTTAATGTCCCTTTTATAAATAAACAAAAAAAATATATATATATATTGAAGTGAAATCAATTTAACTTTTTACAAAAATAAAAACAAGATGTGGCCAACCAAAGAACCAAAACCCAAACAAATATAAACCAATGTAGAAAACCAGATCCTGTGTTTAGCTGCTACTATGGCCAATATACAATTAACAATGGCTCATTGTTACATCTCCTCCCCCCTTCTCCCAAGAATACAGTACTTCAATTTTACATGTACCCGGGAAAGACAGTCTGCCACCAGGTTTGCCTTTCCTGACCTATAGTGAATAGTGAAGTCATAAGGCTGAAGTGACAAATACCACCCTGTGAGACGAGTGTTCGATTCTTTCATCCTCTTGAGCCACTGCAGAGCCCGATGGTCAGTTTCCAGGTAGAAGTGACGTCCTAAGAGGTAGTACTTCAGGGAACTAATTGCCCACTTCATGGCCAAGCACTCCTTTTCCACAGTCGAGTAACGTGTCTCTCGATCCAAAAGTTTCCGGCTCAGGAACAGTACTGGCTTTCTTTGTCCATCCACGTCCTGCAAAAGCACAGCTCCCAGGCCAACTGCTGAAGCATCAGTTTGAAGAATTAATGAATTATTGAAATCAGGGGTGTGAAGAACAGACTCACTTGTTATGGCCATCTTCAGGTCTTTAAAGGCTCTGTCACAGTCCTTGGTCCATTTCACTTTCGTTGGTGCTGAAACCTTTGTGAGATTAGTTAACACCGCTGCTCTGTCAGCAAAATGTGGAATAAATTTGCTGAACCAACCTACCAGTCCTAGGAATGCTCGAACCCTCTTTTTGGTGCTTGGAACAGGATAGGAGTGGATGGCATCCACCTTTCGAACTCGAGGCTTTATAACACCTTGACCAACAATATGGCCCAGATACTCCACTTCACTTTTTGCTAAGGAGCATTTGCCAGGACTGATTGTAAGCCCAGCTTTTTTTTAGCAGCCGAAGAACCTGCTGAAGGTGAGTAACATGGTCCTCCCATGTCTGGCTAAAGATGACCACATCATCCAAATAGGCAGCAGCAAATTGTGGTACATCTCGAAGAATCTGGTCCATGAGTCTCTGAAATGTTGCTGGTGCCCCCTGTAGACCAAACGGCATCACCTTGAACTGGTACAAACCAAATGGTGTGGTAAAAGCTGTCAGTTCTTTAGTTTCTTGTGCCAAGGAGAGTTGCCAATATCCTTTGCTCAAGTCAATAGTGCTGATGAACTTTGAATTGCCAACCTTCTCCAACAACTCATCTATTCTTGGCATTGGGTATGACTGACACTTTGACATTGAGTTAAGATATCTGAAGTCAATACAGAATCTTAGAGAACCATCTTTTTTTGGAACCAAAACAATAGGACTGCACCACTCACTTGTAGATTGTTCTATTACGTCCAGCTGCAACATCAGCTCGACTTCCTCTTTGAGTTTCGGCAGCAGACGTTCAGGGATCCGATAGGACCTTCGGCGTGGTATAGCATCAGCTTTGAGATGAACTTTATGCTCAACCAGAGTAGTAAAACCTGGCCGTTCTGTGAAAAGGTCTGGGTCAAGCAATGCCTGGATCTCTCTCTGCTTACCAGGCTGAAGATGTGACAGATCCACTGTCATGGATTTCTGGTCTTTTCTTGGGAACTCCTGTTCTCTGTCCTCTTCCGCTTCACAAATGAAGAGATGTTGCTGAGGTGAGTCCTGTTTCAACAGTTGGACCTGCTTGGATGAAGGACAGTGAAACTCCTTCAAAAGATTCACATGAAAACACTGATGTTTCTTCTGTTTATCTGGTGTGTGGAGTTCATACGTGACCTTACTCACACATCTTGTGATCTCATAGGGGCCATGCCATTTGGCCAGCAGCTTGTTGTCACTGGTGGGTAGAAGAAGCAAGACCTGCTGTCCAACCTGAAAAGTTCTCTGTCTGGCCTTTTTGTCATACCAGAGCTTCTGGTTAGCTTGTGCGGTCTTCATATGCTCCTGTGCTGGTGTCGTCATCAGCTCCAACCTGTCTCTCATCTGAAGAACATAGGCAACCACGTTGTCCTGTTG